CGCGACTACCTCGACACGGGAAGAGGGATGATTGGTAAGGTGATTCTAAACAACTTTTTCCTTCGCCAAAATGTTAGTTCGTTTTCGTGTTATTAATAAAAAACATCGACCAATCCGAGCGCGTACAGTGCGCGGGTTCAAGGACGGCAGTGTCGGCTACGAAAACCGGGCCTAACGTAGGCCGCGAACGAACGGCTCGGCATCTCGTTGATATAGCACAATAAAAAGACTGAGTTGGTAGAACATTTTTAGTCGTTGTTTAAAATGAATACGGAACTTAATCTCTTGTCGACTGTCATAATGTAAAATAAGAAATTCTATGCATTCTAAGAAACAAATAAAAATGATTGAAATGGAGGTTACGTTAATGATGAAAAATTTGAAAACAATTTAAATGAAACTTACCCATTCGTTTCTAAATTAACCTGCTACGCTGAAAGCACATAATTGTCACTGGGTCAGTGTGTCGGTCCCAATCATTCGACGAGGGAACACGTTCGGTAGAACAGCTGTTTTCATGGTCGGGCCAGTGAACTCCCCTCATTTATTGCACTTAGGTATGAATAATAGGCGAGGTATTTCCTTGTTGAATGTTCAGAATCGACACAGTGACCGGGTGAAAATTATCTGCTTTCAGCGTAGCAGGTTAATTTAGAAACGAATGGGTAAGTTTCATTTAAATTGTTTTCAAAGTTCTCATCATCAACGTAGCCTCCAATTCAAACGTTTATTAATTATTTCAATTCAAACGTTTTTATTTGTTACTTAGAATCCTCAGAATTTCCTTTTTTACATCATGACAGGTGACAAGAGATTAGGTTCCGTATTCATTCTAAACAACGACTAAAAATGTTTTATCAGTTCAGTTCTTTTATTGTGCTATGCCAACGGGGTGCCGAGCCGTTCGTTCGCGATCTACGTCAAGCCCCGCTTTTGTAGCCGACGTTGCCGTCCCTGAGCCTGCGCGCTATATGCGCTCGGATTGGTAAGTGTTTTTCCTTAATAATTCAAAAACGAAGCTTCAAATAATTTTTTTGCAAAAGAAAATATTGTTCAGAATCACCCCAGCTACCACCCCTTCACGGGACCAACGCGAGTTCTGGAACACCCTCTGTATATCCAAATCAGGAGCAGTGAGCCAGAATTGTCTAAGCCTGAGTGCCGAAGAAATACGCGAAGTCAAAATAAATATCTTTTTGACTGTTAACGAACTTAGAGCGTATCATTTTCCCTCTGAACATTCCTACAGCATCGATTATTACAATAATTGTATTATTATATTACAATAAGGATGTAATACAATTATAAAATAAAATATAATTGTTTTCCAGGCAGCACCGAAGCACCGTGGTCCCGTTTGAAAATTTTAGTGACATTTAAGCAAAAAATGAAGTTTCTTATATCAATATCTATTCTATGTATACTGTTTTTTGTCCGTCGACTTCAAATATGTTAGAGTTAATAAGATTTAACAAAAGTCGTAGCCGAAATAAATACTGTTTTAAATGCAGCGTTTTTCACGAAAAAATTGCCCTACTTCTACGAGATGTATTGGCGATTGTATACAATATTTCCTTCCACTGTTTTTTGGAGGTGGAAAGTACTGTCTTATATTACAGATTATGTCAATTAATCAAAAATTGGTATTCATAGTGTACTAAAAATATCATATCTAATGAAACAAAAAAAATTGTCAAATTTTAAACGTTTGACAGCACGAATCTTTTTAGTCCCAAAGAGTCCCGAGTTTTTACAAAGCAGAATGCTTTCTGTATGCCTTCCGCTTTGTAATGGTGCAAAAATTAGTTCCTACTTCATCCTACTTTACAAATTATCACTGTTAAAACTCACGGTGTTACGGTATATTTGTACGTTCGCGTTAGGATTGCGTGACGTTCTAGGAATCTCTTCTCAGAGGATATTGAGATTTTAAACACTTGAAATGTTTACGCTATATTGCAGATAAGAATTGAAAGAGTTTTCCTCTGTTAGACTGCATTCAGTTAGTACAGAACCACAGCAGAGCGAACAGTTAAAATTTTTGAACATTTTGATACATTAAAATATTGTATTTTAGTGTTTCAGTTACGTACATCTTATTTTTAATACTTTGTATTTCATTAGTATATTTATATTTGTAGTGCTATATTTTACTAGTATGTGTGTGCTATATTACAGTATGTGTGTGTAGTGCTATATTTTACTAGTATTAATAGTATATATTTCATGCGTTTAGTGTTAAGTTTCACTAGTATTATTAGTATATATTTTGTGTGTGTAGTGAAGTATTATTAAACAATTGTTGTGATTATATTTCTTTTACATTTATTCTACATTTTATTTTACTTATACCTGATAAGTAAAAAGACGCTTGTATATTTGTTACGTTTGAGCTATTTTTGCATTTCAACAAAATTTGTTTACTTGCAGCATATTTAATCAAACTATGGCTATAAGCTAATCGCAAAAAGCACGATAACACGACACAAAGATTTTAAAAACATTAGAATTCGAAATAGCAAAAAATACTACAGGATAGAAATAAACAGAGACATGTTATATCGTCTCCTCATAACATCAGACCCATGTATATCTACCATTAGAATAAAATCGTACACCAAAAAAATTAAAGAATTAGATATAGAAGCCGCAGAAATAATCATTATATAATATGAAATAATAATAATTATTATTGTAACAACAACAACAACAACAACAATAATAATAATATTGATATAATCCTTTCTTTATCCTATCTGTAACTCGACATATATTATCCAGTTCAAGTTTCATGCCAATATCTTTTACGGTTCAAAAGTTATATGCATTTGTCACTAAAATATTCAAACGGGACCACTGTGCGACGAGATAATTATTGTACTGTGACAAAATCATCTCGTTAGTGGTACAACAGTTTTTAAATTATCTTATCGGCGGTGCGATGGGTAATATCACTATTCTACATTATCCATCATACCTATTTACCGATCGTACCCCAGGCCCACTGGACCCACTTGGCGTGCCGCTCTTTAACACAGGGATTGGCAGTCTTTAACAGTCTCTCGTCAATGGTTACGTCACTTTTCGCATACACTTAAGGGGGTAGACACGAGTAATGTAGCGAGGTGACATTACCTGCAAAAATAGGCCTATTAAGGAGATCACAGGAATCGGTTATTTGACCTTATATGAGAGGATTTGGGGCTGGGTGGGGGCTCATTCGAAAGAGAACGGTTCAATGCAGGGCAGTCTTGTCAATGTTCAACGAGATTGTGTCGATATCTAATAATATGAGTGTCCAAAGTAGAGGAAAAGTCGAGAAAATACACCCGCAGAATCCAAGTATTTTTAGGTCACTAAAGGAGTTTTGTGACTTTTTGAACTTTCCTCTTTCGAATGAGCCCTTATTCAGCTCACAATCTTCTCATATAAGGACGAATAATTGATTCCCGTGATTGCATTCCCACAAACGAGTTCCGCGACTATCTGAATAATACAGAGCAAGTCACGTGACAAATTTAGTTCAGCTAGTAGTTATAAGGTGGCGTCTAAGTAGAAAGGCTACCGATTTGGAATCGTAGCCACAGTCACGCGTTAGCTTGGTTACGTCACTCGAACTGTCTCTGCGAGAACAAGTGAATAAGGCAACAGCGCTCAAACGTTGAGTGAGACGAATTATAGTCGTGCTGTCCTTCTCTCATTCTGAATGTTGAGATTGTCCCTTTTCGCTAAGTTTTGACTGATTGATGCCCGCCCGGATTTTTCACAGCGCTCCATAACAAACCTCGCTCAAAGAGAAGGTATAACAAGAGAAGAATATACCTCCTCTTTGCAATAATTCTGTAAATGTTTACATAAGTTGTACGTGAGATATTTATTTATTTAAATTATTTGCATTCACTCAGAATATTGATTAACACTCATTTGTATTTTTTATTAGTTTCGAAAAACAAATTTACTATAGGTTTCTGGAAATACAAGCGTCACGCAATTGGAACGAGTTATATCTTAAATTTGGTAAGAGTTAGGAAAAAGCTATTGATGTAAAAGTTGAATGGCATGACTTATGAAAAATATGAGATATCTCACAAAATATTAGTATTTTAAACATTGTACTGTTAGACATAGGCGCGTTAGCGAAATAGAAAAGAGGGAATAGTAGAGAGGGGAGAGAAGGAAATATACACGCGAGCATGGCGGAACGAAGCGATTTTAGTTATATCAATTATGTTATGATCGCGAGCGAGTTACGATTCTATATTTTTATGTTTTTTGGAAGAAATAAGAGTTGAATTCTGATCTCGGGAGTCGAGACCCCTCCATTTATTAGTTCTAATAGTACCGTAGTACTTTTTTATGCAGAATGTTCCAAGGAGTTGATACGAGTAAAGAAAAAAATGCAATTCTATTTAAAAATAAAAAGTGTATCTGCATTTTTTTAGTGCATCGTTGCATTTACCAAGAAAATGAAGTCATAGAAAAATAAACATTATCATACCATTGAACTTTTACATGAACAGCTTTTTCCTATCTCTTACCAAATTCAAGATATAACCCGTCCCAATTGCGTGACGCACCCTGTATGCTTTCATGAATTAAAAAGTATATTTATTTAAAGAAACCAATAACTTTTTCTAAAAAAATTCTCAGATTGCACGTTTCTTCGGTTCTTCAGAGTAGGCATATATTTTTCAGTAGCGAGGCGTGCTATGGTGCGCTATATAAAATCTACGCATTCAGTCAGGCCCTCGTGCCGAACCCGAACTTCGCGACGAAGACATCGCATTCACTGAGGTTGAGAGCGACAATAGCGTCACGGATAGTTCGGTAGGAAGGAGAAGCGCCGAAAGGGACGAGCGAAACACCGATAGGGCTCTACGACACGTTAGCGAGTTTAGTGGACAAATATAACCGTAGGAAGATGGATTCAGGGTATAAAAGCAGGGTTGAGCGTCGCAAGGAATGAGGAAATGTTTCTCCACCACCTCATTATTCACAAAATGAAGGGAGACGCTGAAAAGTTCTTAGGAAATCGCGAGTTTAGAGATGTAGACGAACTGTGCGACGCAGTTATGGAAGAATTCGGTGAAAGACGTTCAAAGGAACTGCTTATAAATGAACGGAACCACTTGCGGCAAGGTAACAGGAAGGTGAAAGACTACGTCAAACATTTTAATAAAATCCATCAAGATATTACCAGGGTCATCAATAACAACAGGGAATTCACGCCAGAAGAGAAAAGAATATTAGTCAGAGCAGAAGAAGAGGCCGGACTGGCTATTTTTATACGCAATTTGTCACAATCATGGAGAACATCGGTCCGCCAAGCCAGGCCAGGGACGTTAAAGCTCGCACAAAGCATAGCCTACGAGGAAGAGAGAGAAGAAGAACTGTGTCAGGAGTTGTCCAGGTATGTGCATCTGGGAGATAAGAGTCGACCTCACGGTATAGAGAAACGTAACGGTGACGCACCGCAACCTAGATACGACGGTCAAGGAAAGAGCGATAAGAAATCCTCCGGGACAGCTGTCCCTACCTGCTTCAAGTGCAACAAGCAGGGTCACTACTCAAGTAATTGTAGAAATTTTCAAAGGGACCGCGATCAAAAACCCCCAGACATCAAATATATAGAATCGGACCAACACGAAGTTAGCTGCGAGTCAACATCCGAGTCAGAACCGACGCAGACGGAAGACCAATTACGAGCGATTAACCAAATTGAAAGAAAACGTCCGTTTAGATCATATAATAGATAATACAGAACGAGAAGAGATCTGAAAGATTTTGAGGCAATTCGAGGATATGTTCTCACTCCCAGGGGACTCACTGTCGGTAACGAAACTTGCTGAGCATTCGATACCTACATTAGATGAAGTTCCGATCAATTCTAAACAGTACAGGTACCCACCTCACCACCAAGACGAAATTGACCAGTAAGTCGCAGACATGAAGGAGAAAGGGATCTTGCGAGAATCCACATCTCCGTACAACTCGCCGATCTGCGTAGTCCCAAAAAGGGCCGATGCCAGTGGCAAGAAGAAGTGGAGGATACTAATAGACTTCCGAGGCTTAAACGCAAAGACAGTTCAAGACGCTTACTCGATGCCAAACATTGTAGAGATACACGACCAGCTGGGGAACGCAAAATACTTTTCGTCCTTCGATCTGGCCTCTGGATTTCACCAGATCGCGATGAAGACCAAGGATCGACCGAAAACAGCGTTCTCAACATATGATGGACATTACGAGTTCAATCGGATGCCCTTCGGCTTGAAGAATGCCCCGGCCACATTCCAAAGGATGATGAACCAGGCCTTGCGAGGTCTGAAAGGCAAGATTTGCCTGGTCTTTGTGGATGATATAGTGATTTGGGGAAAAAGTGCTGAAGAACATCGAGAACGACTGAAAAGCTTACTAAATCGACTTTGCGAAGTTGGTTTGAAATTGCAACCGGACAAATGCGAGTTCCTCAGTGAGAGGCTAAAATTCTTGGGGCATATGATCACCCCAGACGGGGTGAAACCCAATCCAGAAACTCTGAAATCTGTCGAAGAATTCTCAGTGCCAAATTTGACTAAAAAGGTAAGAGAGTTCCTCGGTTTAGCTAATTATTATAAACGCTTTATCGACAGGTTCTCTCAAATTGCGAAACCGCTGAATTCACTGCTGAAAAAAGATGCGAAATTTGAGTGGACCGAGGTCCATCAAAAGGCATACGAGAAATTAAAGGCGTTGTTGGTGAGTAATAAGGTGCTAATGTACCCAGACTTTAAAAAGGAATTTATTCTAGTAGTCGATGCATCTGGAGACGGTATTGGAGCTGTACTGGCGCAACAGGATGAAAACGGGAAAGAAAGACCAGTAAGTTTTGCCAGTCGCACCTTCAATAAAGCCGAAGTAAAATACTCCACCAAAGATAAGGAAACGTTAGCCATAGTCTGGAGTGTGAGACACTTTAGACCCTATCTTTATGGGAGGAAGTTTACTATTTTGACAGACCACCAGCCAATTCCCTACATGGACAAAAGCAAACAGCCAGGGGCTATGCAAGAACGCTGGCGGGTATTTCTGATGGAGTATGATTATGAAATTAAATACAAGAAAGGGTGTCTGAATACGAACCCCATAGATCATCACAACGAAGTCGTCCTCGCAGTAAAGTCTGCGAGAAGACCACTCCGAAAACATTGTATTCTCAGAAGAAGTGGATGACGACAGCGTAATGGTCGAATTTTACCTGGGTCAACCAAACGTGCAGTTTAACGAACAACATTCCTTCGTAGTAACTTGGCCAGAGTTTACTATGGAAAACCTACAAGCTAGTTTCGAGGCAATTAGAGACACGATAATTCCACAGGAAATAGAACGCATCACTGTCGATTACGCCGGACTGTTGTGCCTGTTGCCAGGTAAGGCAAGACAAATACAAGATCTAATTATTAATTTTTTTCAAGATCCGTCACTCCGCGTGACTTTGCTAACGAAGGATCTGAGGACGCCGGAGACGGAAGCGGAAAAGCTTGAAATAATCAGACAAGCGCACGACATTATGCTTGGAGGACACGCTGGCATCCGTAAAACCATAGCTATACAGAGAAGTTACACATGGATAGGCTTACACCGAGATGTAAGTAAGTACATATCTGAATGCTTAATCTGCCAGGAGAACAAAATCGTTCGAAACCCAACCAAGATACCTTTACGAACCACTGATACGCCAATGGCCTTCAACGATAAGATCGCGATTGACATCGTTGGACCGTTGGAACCGGACTCCAGAGGTATGAAATACATATTAACCATGCAAGACCAGTTAGCAAAATACCTCGAAGCCAAGCCCTTAGTGGACCAGAAAACCGAAACGGTAGCGGAAGCTTTACTGAATACTTGGATTCTACGCTATGGCACTCTTAAAGCAGTACTGACGGATCTAGGAACCAATTTTACCAGTAATCTCATGGAAAATCTAGCCGACATGCTTGGATTCGACCTCCAACACACTACAGCTTTTAGACCAGAGTCTAATTGCTCGCTTGAACGCGCTCACGCAGTTATTAAAGACTTCTTGAAGACCCAACTCTCTCGAGAAGAACGCTGCAACGAACATTGGAGCAGGTACCTGCAAGGAGCTGTATTCACATATAATTCAACTACCCATTTATCAACGGGAGTTACACCTTACTCACTTGCGTTTGGCAAAGACCCACCCCTCATGAATCAATTGGAAGAAGAACCGGAAGCCACCTACTTGGATTTGGTAGAACAAATGCGAGTACAACTACAACGAATGCATAAGCAAGCTGCTGAAGCAATTATTGCAAGCAAGGAACGAACCAAGAAACGGTTTGACAAAACGATTAAACCGTTATTACTTGAACCAGGAGACTGGGTATGGGTAAAGAACCAAAACAGAAACCGCCTTGCGGCACTAACGAAACTTTATCTTGGGCCATATCAAGTCAAACAACTCCATGGAGACTTGAACGCTTCACTTAATATAAATGACAAAGATACATTAGTCCACCTCAACAGACTTAAATATGCTAATCTTTCATCTATTTTAGATTAAGTTTTCTCCTATAGAAAGGAGCGTTCGCCGAAGGGATGGCCGAGATCGAGAAGCTCACGAACCTTCCAAACATCTACTTCGATCCGATGGGAACCACGAGACTCTACCACCACGAATGGAAAACACTGGTCTTCGTGGATTTCCGAGACATCAAAGCGGTCGAAACGACAATCCGTGAACCATTGAATCACCCAATCCACACAGAAGGTAATGGATTCTCGCCATCACTCTACGGACACATGTCGAATCGCTTTCAACGTAGTTTTAATCATAAAAACACTTTACTAACCAGTCTAGGATATAAAAAGGTAGAACGTAAGCGCGTGAAACGCGGTTGGTTAAACCCAATCGGCGGCCTAGCTAATATTTTATTCGGCACCATTAGCCAAAAGGACGCCCAGTATTATAACTCCGAGATAGATAAGCTGTACACAGGCAATAAGCGTTTGAGCGTTCTTATTCAAAACGAAACCACAATTGTTCGAAGTATTCTGAAAAACAACGATATATTTGAAGACAAAATTACAACATACGTGAACAAAATCAACAATTATACCAACGCGAACATAGAGCGAATATATGAACGCACGAATACACTCGAACTATTACTAGAATTAAACGAGATAATCACCGAACATAACGAATTACAGTATTGCTTCGAAATAAGCAAGTGGCTCGGGACCGAACAGTTGCTTATTTCGAAGCAGGTATGCTATTCGGCTTGACTTTGTTCTCGAAACGGGACGATAGAGAACGCGAGAAACGTGTGAGAGATCCAAGGTAGCGGCAAATCATAAAGTGATCGGCCGAGCAGCGATGTTATTTTTTGAACAAGGATAGAATATAGCATGCCCTCTCATTCTCGTACTATGTTTTATTTCGAAGAAAATATACTAGACTGAGAAAGCATTATATATATTTCATCCTTCTTCTACTAACCGATGTCACTGCTCAGTCGAGCGTGAAATTTATTACCCTAAACATCGGCTTCGCGCTTTCATGGACCTCTCACTCATTTCTCGTACCTCTCACTTTGTGGACGACTTCAAACAAAGAAGAGAGGATAACGAGTTGCTTATTTCGAAGCAGAGACCACTTGCTTATTTCGAAGCAATACTGTAATTGAAAACCTGCGATCAATTGTAGTTAATTGAGAACTAGGAAAAATAGACCCTTTGTTAGTAGAACCTGATCAACTAAGCGAAATTTTACGAACCATCAAACAAAAATATGGCTCTAGCCGTATGATATTTTCGAACACAAATGAATTTGCTTATAAATTTTTACGAATCACTAAAGTTAACGTTTTTGTGTTAAATTCATACAAGCTCTGCTTTGAGTTAAAAATCCCCATCGTAGAAGAAGACATTTACGCCTTGTACTCCACGATGCCACTCCTACATATAACTGAAGATTACATTTATCTACTACACACCCAAGAACAATATATTTTAGTTGAAAGAGATTCTCGCAGCTACTCTAGAATCAGCGATCGAGACATAGATCATTCTATAGAAATTTCCGATCTCCGAATCTGTGCCCGACACTCACCTTCGCTGTCCACAGAATTAACAAATCCATGCATAAAACGTGCTGTTCACGCAATTTGGTTGAGCGGTCTCCGCCAACTTGACGTACGCCGTGATAAGACAAGCGAATGCCGGATCGGGTAGGGCGTGAGTGAGAAAAAAGTAGAATTTAGCGAATCGCACAATGTATATTGTACTCGTCTTGATTACAAATCCGATTAACAAATAGGATTAAGAGTCTGTGCCGAAGCGTCGGTTCGGCGCTTAGACTGTAGCGGAACGAAGCTCGATGTTCGGTAGACAGAGACGAGGCGATGATGTTGTTGCTTGTGTAACATCCCGCAGGAAGAAGAATAAATAAAAAAAACCACCATTATTAATTATTAAAATATATATTTATTTTTTTTTTAGTTTTTATACAATCAAAGTTATAACACTTCGTTTTTTTATTATTATTGTATTAACACGATTCAGATCGACAATTATATTCATATTTAACAAATAGGAAAAGAATGTTGTATTTAATTATATTTATACTTAACAAAATTTATACTCAAAAATATACATCGATAATTACCGCGTCGATAATTCTACCGCGTCGATAAAAGATCGACGCAGGATATATAGATAGAGATAGGAGTAACGCGTAGAAAGAGAT